AGCTAGATAACACATGTATAAATTCCATGCCATAGACTTTAATTATAATCACTGGCCAGTGCTAGCGGGTCCCCGAATCAACCGATGCATCCACTTTAACGCTATTTTCGGTGCGGCGGCGATCGGCACTCGCGGTCAAAATTAACCAAATTATTTTTGGAAACTTTAGCCAACATTAAGACAGACATTTTGGTTAAATATTTTTTAAATTCGGTAACTTTTAACTATTATTCTGTTTTTTAACTTTTATGTAAATACTTTTGACACCACTTTACATTGAAATCAATGGGAAAGTCTTATGTAGATAAATAAAATTTTTAGTGTAGGTATCGATTGAGTTACTAATTATTAATACAGTTTAGTCTCTATATAAAAAGCGAACTGTTTTTTCTTAGTTTTAATGGTATAACTTAAGGCTTCTTATAAAGAGGTTCACTGAATGTTATTATCACTAATAAATTATTCTGTGAATGATATTTGATGACAACAGCGGGAACGGACACCATATATACAACTCTCGTATGGAATCTACTATTTATGGTATATTATAGCGATTGGCAGCAAATCATGCGAAATGAAGTGAACAATAGACTGGGCGATAGGGCACCGGTTGTGGCCGATAAACACCATTTGCATTGTGTTATGGCATTCATATACGAGACCATTCGTTGGAGAAACGCAGGGATTATGGGAGCACCGCATATGACTTTTTCGGATACCATATTGGGTTAAACTTTACCATAAAATCATTTTTAATTATTAGTTATTTAATTGATTTTTTAATGCTTAGGCGGCAAATACCCAGTTCCCGGTCAAACAATATCGGTCATTTGTGGCACATATTGACTAACGATAAATATTTTACAAATGCTGACCAATTTAAACGTGAACGTTTTATTAATGAGCATGGTCAGTTTAATTCCGTTGGCTCAGCAGCATATATACCGTTTGGCACGGGTAGACGTATGTGTATCGGAGAATCGATGGCTATAAATAGTTTATTTTTAATCACGGTAAAAATTTTACAATATACAAACAATCACCCGATAAAACTAGTGGACCGATATAATAATCCCGATAGTTTGCAGCCCGACCGGGACGGCATGGCATTGACTATAAGTTTTATTGATTTTGAAATTATTTTTGAAAAATAATTACAGTTTATGCAAAATGTTATAATTTTAAAACTACTTTTTAAATGAATTGCGTTTACAATATAATTTTTTTAATTAATTCATACCGTTATATTTTGTTATAATATTTATAATACATAAAATAAAATTATTTTATTAAAATCAATTTTAAATTTAACCTAATTATGATTTATTTTAGAAAAACATTTACCATTTACATTTAATTACCTATTTAATTGAATAATTTACAAAATCCCGTCCTGAATATATCGTATATTTCTAATATAATTAATTACATGAGCTTTATTAAGTCAATGCGTAATCAGTTTCTAATTGTATTAACATTGCACAGTTATATATTAAATGTTGAGTATTTGTTTAACTAAACAAGGTTTGTACTCTAATTTATACTCTAAAAGTATATTGCAATATGTTGCTATTACTATGCTACCATCTAATAATGTTCAAAATTAGTAAATTTTATTTTAATATATGCAGTATAATTTATAACCATCTGTTATTAACTGTTAAATTATTTACTTTTATAAATATTCACATTGAGAAATAGCACTTAATTATATGTTATAATTATTGACGGTAATATTTACAAGTGTTCCTAATTATATAAGTGACCATGTTCATGTGAGTACTGCTATACCTTTAAACTTAAAGTTTAAAGCGTATCCGACGCAGGGTATGATTAGTAATATACTTAATATTATTATTAAAACTAATTTTAATGTTAATAGCATTACGTGGTTAGACATTTGTGTCACATTTATATTTGGCCTGATTGCATTTTACCTGGTCGGATTTTATTCAAAATTATCTAACTATCCACCTGGCCCAATTCCATTGCCTGTAATTGGTAACCTACTATGTATGCATATAATTGAATTATTTTTGTTTGTTAACTTATTAATAATATTTATAATAAGGTAATTTTTAATTATAAATCAGCACATATAACGAGAATTTTAATTAACACTTAATTAATTTTTATTTAAATAGTATTTAAAAATCGAAAACAACACATAAACCAAGAAGTGTCAAAACTATACAAACTGTATGGACCGGTGGTGACCGTATGGGTCGGTCCCATACCTATCGTACTTATTGGTGATCCGAATATTGCTAAACAAGCTTTTAAAAAACAAGAATGCTCTGGCAAATTTCAAATGTTGCTTGGTATAATAGGCTTATAATATTATAATAGTTATTTCATTTCATGCAATATATTGTATATACAGTATTATATAATTTTAAAACTCATATTATAATTTATAAATAATGATTTGACTTTAAGGTATTATAAATCAAGACGTATAATTTTACTTTTTACCTAGAATTTATATAAATGTACATGAGTTCAAAATGTATTTAACCAATAGATCCTATGGATGTAAATAAAAAGTATTAACCCACAAGCTAAATTAATAGATAATCCACAAAATTGAAGTCAAATTCATAAGTATTTGTAAATAAATCATTGCAATGATTAAATATAATTAATTACAAATTAAATTTTATTGTGGTATATACAAATATTTAGAGTAATTTATATATTAACTAGCCATCTAATAATTAACAGTAATAATTAACTAGTATTAAATAGTAAACAGTTCACAAAATCTGCCACCCATTCCCTCTCACATTTTATTTCACTTTATAGTTTCACTATCCCTCCCAACCCTTTATATTACGCTTTTTAAGCTGTTTAAGTCCCTTTTAATCCTTTACTTTATATTAATGATTAGTGTTAGGTCTGTGGTAGAAGTTTGGTGTCAAAAAACTTAATTTATGAAAAACTCTGTAGTATTATAACACCATTTTATAGTGCCTTAAATAATTGTTAGGATCAATTTTCAACGATGACAATCATAGAGATATGGCATTCAATAGTCACTTAGAAAGTGCGGATCAGCTGAGAGAAATGTCCATGACCGCTATTCGGTATTAAATTTATTTTACATTATTCTCTTACTATGTTAAAAAATTTTAGTTACTTATTTAATTTAATGATATAAATTGAATTTATTTAATAGAAAATATACAAAATCAACGGATTTCGCAGATTTGTTGAACAAAACTGTTAATGAAATCTTTGCACAAATGTTGTCCAAAGAGGGAATCGATCGGCCGTTTAAACCGCAGTCCTATTGTCACGAAATTCTTATGACTATACTTAATGTCTCTATTTTTAACCATAAGTAAATTTTATCAAATGTAATATACATTTTTTGTAACAATTAATTTGCGTCTAATGATCTAGGTTAGACGAGATAATGTACGCAAATTTTCAATCTCCAAACCATTGCATCGAATACAATAATAACAATTTGTACGGCATATACGAGTCAATACCCATTGCGAGATATTTTATGGCCAATCCGTTACAAAAATTACAAAAAGCATATAATAAATGTTTTGAATACATAATAAATGAATTAAAATTACGCGATAATAATTACAACGAGAGTAATGGTCGAGACTTTTGCAGTCAGTTTATTGACGCTAAACGCCGGGCAGAGGCGAAGGGAAAGCCGGGATTTGAATGTTTAAACAATAATAACATCGCGGCAGTAGTTATGGACATGTATTTAGGTATTGATTGAGTTAATACATTGCAAGTAATTATTAATGTAGTTTAGTTTATATAAAATATTTTATTCCATCAATTAAGACTTCTTATAAAGAGGTTCACTGAATGTTATTACAAATAATTATTTAATAATAATAATAATAATAATGATAAGTTATTATTTAAATAATATTTCTTTATAACAGCGGGAACGGAGACCACGTATGCAACTCTCGTATGGAATCTACTATTTATGGTATATTATAGCGATTGGCAGCAAATCATGCGAAATGAAGTGAACGATAGACTGGGCGATAGGGCACCGGTTGTGACCGATAAACACCATTTGCATAATGTTATGGCATTCATATAAATTTCTGGTATATTATAGCGATTGGCAGCAAATCATGCGAAATGAAGTGAACGATAGACTGGGCGATAGGGCACCGGTTGTGACCGATAAACACCATTTGCATAATGTTATGGCATTCATATACGAGGCCATTCGCTGGAGAACCGCAGCACCAATTGGAGCACCGCATATGACTTTATCAGATACCATATTAGGTTATACTTTATTTAAAAATGTTAATTAATAGAAATGCAATTAATATTTTTATTGCTTAGGCGGCAAATACCCAGTTCCCGGTCAAACAATACTGATCGGTCATTCGTGGCATATATTAACAAATAATACACTTTTTTCAAACGCTGACCAATTTAAACCTGAACGTTTTCTTGATAGACAAGGTAATTTCAATTCAATTAGATCATCAGCATATATACCGTTTGGCACGGGTAGGCGTACGTGTATCGGAGAATCGATGGCTATAAATAGTTTATTTTTAATGATGGTAAACATTATACAATATACAAACGACCACCCGCTAAAACTAGTGGACCGATATAATAATCCCGATATTTTGGAGCCCAACCTGGACGGCAAGGCACTGATTTTAAAAACTATTGATTTTGAAATTCTTTTTGAAAAGTAATTAATGTTTATGTTTATGCAAAATGTTTTGATTTAAAAAATAGTTTTTAAATGGATTGGTTTTACAATATAATTTTTATTAATTCATACCATTCTTTTTTGTTATAATATTTATAATACATAAAATAAAATTATTTTATTAAAATCAAGCTTAAATTTAACCTAATTATGATTTATTTTAAAAAAAACTAACCATTTACATTTTATTACTTATTGAATTGAATAATTTACAGAATCCTGATCTGAATATATAGTATATTTCTAATATAATTATTACTATCAGTTTTATAAAGTCAGTACAATATCAGTTTATAATTGTATTAACATTGCACAGAAATATATTAAATTTTGAGATTTTGTTTAACTAAATAGGGTTTGTCTTCTAATTGTTTCGGTATAAAAGTATGAGCTATTATTTTGCTACTATCAAATGATGTTCAAAATTAGTACAATTTATTTTAATATATGCAATATTATTTATAACCATCTGTTGGTTTTTTGATTTTTTCTAATTTTAATTCTTAACAATTTGGTGTATTATTCTTTAAAATACCTTTTGTACTTTTTAAATGCCAAGCCTTTTAAATATTGCGCTTTTACAGCTATAAATCCCATGAACTCAAATATTAGGGATCTATTACTAAAATCCTGATATACATCTCGAATCATATTTTAATACAAACATTTTGGTATATAGATTGTCAAAATACACCAAGTATCTTTTGAGTTATGCAATATTTTTTTCTCCATAGAAAAAGCATTAGCACAATGACTCAGTCTCCTTTTCAACCATCCATATGTTTAAAGTTAGTAAATTTTATTTATATTGTATATGACATATAATTTTATAACCATCTGTTATAAACTTTTTAAATTATTTATTTTTATGAATATTCACATTTAAAAATGGTACTTAAGTAAATTCTATAATTATTGATTGGTATATTTAAAAGTTTTCCTGATTAAATAAGTGACCATGTTCATGTGAGTATTGCTATATCTAATTTTCTAAGATAACATGTGT